GTCCGCCCCCAGACACACGCGCGTCCGCCCCCAGACACACGCGCGTGTCCGCCCCCAGACACACGCGCGTGTCCGCCCCCAGACACACGCGCGTGTCCGCCCCCAGACACACGCGCGTGTCCGCCCCCAGACACACGCGCGTGTCCGCCCCCAGACACACGCGCGTGTCCGCCCCCAGACACACGCGCGTGTCCGCCCCCAGACACACGCGCGTGTCCGCCCCCAGACACACGCGCGTGTCCGCCCCCCCAGACAGACACACGCGCGTGTCCGCCCCCAGACACACGCGCGTGTCCGCCCCCAGACACACGCGCGTGTCCGCCCCCAGACACACGCGCGTGTCCGCCCCCAGACACACGCGCGTGTCCGCCCCCAGACACACGCGCGTGTCCGCCCCCAGACACACGCGCGTGTCCGCCCCCAGACACACGCGCGTGTCCGCCCCCAGACACACGCGCGTGTCCGCCCCCAGACACACGCGCGTGTCCGCCCCCAGACACACACGCGCGTGTCCGCCCCCAGACACACGCGCGTGTCCGCCCCCAGACACACGCGCGTGTCCGCCCCCAGACACACGCGCGTGTCCGCCCCCAGACACACACGCGCGTGTCCGCCCCCAGACACACGCGCGTGTCCGCCCCCAGACACACGCGCGTGTCCGCCCCCAGACACACACGCGCGTGTCCGCCCCCAGACACACGCGCGTGTCCGCCCCCAGACACACGCGCGTGTCCGCCCCCAGACACACGCGCGTGTCCGCCCCCAGACACACGCGCGAGTCCGCCATTGTTCACCCATTTCCCGCCACACCGCCCAACTACACCACCTCCATGTTGTATGTTGTATGCATATCTTCACCCAGACAAATTGTCGCAACATGTCTGTGCTTTAGGATATAATACAGGAGGCGAGAGAGAGAGAAAGAAAGAAAGAAAGAAAGAAAGAAAGAAAGAAAGAAAGAAAGAAAGAAAGAAAGAAAGAAAGAAAGAAAGAAAGAAAGAAAGAAAGAAAGAAAGAGAAAAGAAAGAGAGAGAGAGAGAGAGAGAGACAAAGAAAGAAAGAAAGAAAGAAAGAGAGAGAGAGAGAGAGAGAGAGAGAGAGAGAGAGAGAGAGAGAGAGAGAGAGAGAGAGAGAGAGAGAGAGAGAGAGAGAGAGAGAGAAAGAGAGAGAAAGAGAAAGAAAGAAAGAGAGAGAGAGAGAGCGCCAGGCCTGGGGTCAGCCCAGATCAAGAGCCCGGACAGATGAGTAACTTTAAAAATGTTACAAAGCCTTCAGACAATCTGATACAAATGTATCACAGTCAACAAGTGTCCACAAAATGAACGAGGTAACCGCCACTCTAAAAAAAATTCTTCCCAATGCCAAAAATTAAAAAAATAGTGGACCAAAACGCCCCCTTCGAGTCCCGTGGTAATCCCGAGACTAAGAAACACTCGTTTATTTCTAAACAAAAAAGCCGATTAGAATAACATATTTGTTTAAGTATCTCTGAAGCAGATTTGAATTTAATCTCCTCCAAAATTTGTTTTTTTTTATTATTTTTTTGGCTTTTTAGTGTAAGTAAAAATGCTCTAGATTTCGATAGGTTCCACAAATACATTGATAAACGATAACAAGGAGGCCTGAACACATAACAGGAGGCCTGAACACATAACAAGGGGGCCTGAACACATAACAGGAGGCCTGAACACATAACAAGGGGGTCTGAACACATAACAGGAGGCCTGAACACATAACAAGGGGGCCTGAACACATAACAGGAGGCCTGAACACATAACAAGGGGGCCTGAACACATAACAAGGAGGCCTGAACACATAACAAGGGGGCCTGAACACATAACAGGAGGCCTGAGCACATAACAGGAGGCCTGAACACATAACAAGGGGGCCTGAACACATAACAGGAGGCCTGAACACATAACAGGAGGCCTGAACACATAACAAGGAGGCCTGAACACATAACAAGGAGGCCTGAACACATAACAAGGGGGCCTGAACACATAACAAGGGGGCCTGAACACATAACAAGGGGGCCTGAACACATAACAGGAGGCCTGAACGCATAACAAGGAGGCCTGAACACATAACAGGAGGCCTGAACACATAACAAGGGGGCCTGAACACATAACAGGAGGCCTGAACACATAACAGGAGGCCTGAACACATAACAAGGGGGCCTGAACACATAACAGGAGGCCTGAACACATAACAGGAGGCCTGAACACATACCAAGGAGGCCTGAACACATACCAAGGAGGCCTGAACACATAACAAGGAGGCCTGAACACATAACAAGGGGGCCTGAACACATAACAAGGGGGCCTGAACACATAACAAGGAGGCCTGAACACATAACAAGGAGGCCTGAACACATAACAAGGGGGCCTGAACACATAACAAGGGGGCCTGAACACATAACAGGAGGCCTGAACACATAACAAGGGGGCCTGAACACATAACAAGGAGGCCTGAACACATAACAAGGGGGCCTGAACACATAACAGGAGGCCTGAGCACATAACAGGAGGCCTGAACACATAACAAGGGGCCTGAACACATAACAGGAGGCCTGAACACATAACAGGAGGCCTGAACACATAACAAGGAGGCCTGAACACATAACAAGGAGGCCTGAACACATAACAAGGGGGCCTGAACACATAACAAGGGGGCCTGAACACATAACAAGGGGGCCTGAACACATAACAGGAGGCCTGAACGCATAACAAGGAGGCCTGAACACATAACAGGAGGCCTGAACACATAACAAGGGGGCCTGAACACATAACAGGAGGCCTGAACACATAACAGGAGGCCTGAACACATAACAAGGGGGCCTGAACACATAACAGGAGGCCTGAACACATAACAGAAGGCCTGAACACATACCAAGGAGGCCTGAACACATACCAAGGAGGCCTGAACACATAACAAGGAGGCCTGAACACATAACAAGGGGGCCTGAACACATAACAAGGGGGCCTGAACACATAACAAGGAGGCCTGAACACATAACAAGGAGGCCTGAACACATAACAAGGGGGCCTGAACACATAACAAGGGGGCCTGAACACATAACAAGGGGGCCTGAACACATAACAGGAGGCCTGAACACATAACAAGGGGGCCTGAACACATAACAGGAGGCCTGAACACATAAGAAGGGGGCCTGAACACATAAGAAGGGGGCCTGAACACATAACAGGAGGCCTGAACACATAACAAGGGGCCCTGAACACATAACAAGGGGCCCTGAACACATAACAAGACTCCTGAACACATAACAAGGGGCCCTGAACACATAACAAGAGGCCTGAACGCATAACAAGGGGGCCTGAACACATAACAGGAGGCCTGAACACATAACAAGGGGCCCTGAACACATAACAAGGGGCCCTGAACACATAACAAGACTCCTGAACACATAACAAGGGGCCCTGAACACATAACAGGAGGCCTGAACGCATAACAAGAGGCCTGAACACATAACAGCAGGCCTGAACACATAACAAGAGGCCTGAACGCATAACAAGGAGGCCTGAACACATAACAGGAGGCCTGAACGCATAACAAGAGGCCTGAACACATAACAGGAGGCCTGAACACATAACAGGAGGCCTGAACACATAACAAGGAGCCCTGAACACATAACAAGGAGGCCTGAACGCATAACAAGGAGCCCTGAACACATAACAGGAGCCCTGAACACATAACAGGAGGCCTGAACACATAACAAGGAGGCCTGAACACATAACAAGGAGGCCTGAACACATAACAAGGAGGCCTGAACACATAACAAGGGGGCCTGAACACATAACAAGGAGCCCTGAACACATAACAGGAGCCCTGAACACATAATAGGAGGCCTGAACACATAACAAGGAGGCCTGAACACATAACAAGGGGGGTCTGAACACATAACAAGAAGGCCTGAACACATAACAAGGAGGCCTGAACAAAATAACAAGGGGGGTCTGAACACATAACAAGAAGGCCTGAACACATAACAAGGAGGCCTGAACAAAATAACAAGGAGGCCTGAACACATAACAAGGGGGGTCTGAACACATAACAAGGAGGCCTGAACACATAACAAGGGGACTGAACACATAACAGAAGGCCTGAACACATAACAAGGAGGCCTGAACACATAACAGGAGGCCTGAACACATAACAAGGGGGCCTGAACACATAACAGGAGGCCTGAACACATAACAAGGAGCCCTGAACACATAACAAGGAGGCCTGAACAAAATAACAAGGAGGCCTGAACACATAACAAGGGGGGTCTGAACACATAACAAGGGGGCCTGAACACATAACAAGGAGGCCTGAACAAAATAACAAGGAGGCCTGAACACATAACAAGGGGGGTCTGAACACATAACAAGGGGGCCTGAACACATAACAAGGAGGCCTGAACAAAATAACAGGAGGCCTGAACAAAATAACAAGGAGGCCTGAACACATAACAAGGGGACTGAACACATAACAGAAGGCCTGAACACATAACAAGGAGGCCGGAACACATAACAGGAGGCCTGAACACAACAGGAGGCCTGAACACATAACAGGAGGCCTGAACACATAACAAGGGGGCCTGAACACATAAGAGGAGGCCTGAACACATAACAGGAGGCCTGAACACATAACAAGGAGGCCTGAACAAAATAACAAGGAGGCCTGAACACATAACAAGGGGGGTCTGAACACATAACAAGGGGGCCTGAACACATAAGAGGAGGCCTGAACACATAACAGGAGGCCTGAACACATAACAGGAGGCCTGAACACATAACAGGAGGCCTGAACACATAACAGGAGGCCTGAACACATAACAAGGGGCCCTGAACACATAACAAGACGCCTGAACGCATAACAAGGTGCCCTGAACACATAACAAGGGGCCCTGAACACATAACAAGGGGCCAGAACACATAACAAGGGGCCCTGAACGCATAACAAGACTCCTGAACACATGACCTGAAGGCAGGACTCACCTGAGAGCCCCTGTCGGCGTCCTCGGGGATGTCGAAGGAGTACGCGGGCTCGTGGAACACCGGAGGATTGTCGTTGGTATCCGTCACCTGTCAATCATAAAAACACATGTTATTAAATCGTATAAACGAAGGATTCAGTGCTGTCTGGGACTGATGAGTTAACAAGCTTGTTCCGGATTATGTTGTGCAGCTGAGGAGTGGGTGTAGTGAGGTAGCTGGCACCCTTACACCCTTGTGGGGAGGCAGGGTGACCCCTCTCACCCTTGAGGGGAGGCAGGGTGACCCCTTACACCCTTGTGGGGAGGCAGGGTGACCCCTTACACCCTTGTGGGGAGGCAGGGTGACCCCTCTCACCCTTGTGGGGAGGTAGGGTGACCCCTCTCCCCTCGTGGGGAGGCAGGGTGACCCCTCTCACCCTTGTGGGGAGGCAGGGTGACCCCTCTCACCCTTGAGGGGAGGCAGGGTGACCCCTTACACCCTTGTGGGGAGGCAGGGTGACCCCTTACACCCTTGTGGGGAGGCAGGGTGACCCCTCTCACCCTTGTGGGGAGGCAGGGTGACCCCTCTCACCCTTGTGGGGAGGCAGGGTGACCCCTCACACCCTTGTGGGGAGGCAGGGTGACCCCTCACACCCTCGTGGGGAGGCAGGGTGACCCCTCTCACCCTTGTGGGGAGGCAGGGTGACCCCTCTCCCCTCGTGGGGAGGCAGGGTGACCCCTCTCACCCTTGTGGGGAGGCAGGGTGACCCCTCTCCCCTTGTGGGGGGGCAGGGTGACCCCTCTCACCCTTGTGGGGAGGCAGGGTGACCCCTCTCACTCTTGTGGGGAGGCAGGGTGACCCCTCTCACTCTTGTGGGGAGGCAGGGTGACCCCTCTCACCCTTGTGGGGAGGCAGGGTGACCCCTCTCACTCTTGTGGGGAGGCAGGGTGACCCCTCTCACCCTTGTGGGGAGGCAGGGTGACCCCTCTCACCCTTGTGGGGAGGCAGGGTGACCCCTCTCACCCTTGTGGGGAGGCAGGGTGACCCCTCTCACCCTAGTGGGGAGATAGGGTGACCCCTCTCACCCTTTTGGGGAGGCAGGGTGACCCCTCTCACTCTTGTGGGGAGGCAGGGTGACCCCTCTCACTCTTGTGGGGAGGCAGGGTGACCCCTTACACCCTTGTGGGTATGCAGGATGACCCCTTACACCCTTGTGGGGAGGCAGGGTGACCCCTCTCACCCTTGTGGGGAGGCAGGGTGACCCCTCACACCCTCGTGGGGAGGCAGGGTGACCCCTCACACCCTCGTGGGGAGGCAGGGTGACCCCTCACACCCTCGTGGGGAGGCAGGGTGACCCCTCACACCCTCGTAGCAACAGCAAATGGCCAAAGAAGTGTTTCCAATGCTTACATCGCTGTCCCTGAGAGCGGCGACTCAACAGATGGACATAATAATTGGGGTAGGGGTTAGGGGTAAGGGTGAGGGGTAGGGGAGGGGGAATAGGGGGTAGGGGGAGGGGGTGGGGGGGCTGAAGCAGGTACAGGCAACAAAAAAACCTGAATGGCAACCTGACGCGACCAACGACTCCGTGGGACCACATATCCTGATTGTGTGTATTATGAATCAAAATATATCACAGGGAACCCACCAAATTATTTCCAGGCTTGGTATTACCCTGGAAGACAAACAAGGGACTAAATGTTAGTTTGGTCACACCTAATAACCACGCTAACAGCCACAGCCTCGGACACAGCCTCCACTCCCCCCCCCCCCTCTTCTCTCTCTCTCTCTCTCTCTCTCTCTCTCTCTCTCTAAGGTATGACGACCAGAGCTGATATGATATTTGAAGATGGGACGCATTATACTCCCGCCACTACTCTGACGCCTTCACAATATTGCAAGTTAAGGTGCCCCCTGAACCTGGCCAGTAGCAGCAGAACGCAGACACTGCCACCAGTAAGACCTCCACACTAGCCAGTAGCAGCAGAACGCAGACACTGCCACCAGTAAGACCTCCACACTAGCCAGTACCAGCAGAACGCAGACATTGCCACCAGTAAGACTAGCCACTAGCCAGTAGCAGCAGAACGCAGACACCGCCACCAGAAAGACCTCCACACTAGCCAGTAGCAGCAGAACGCAGACACTGCCACCAGTAAGACCTCCACACTAGCCAGTAGCAGCAGAACGCAGACACCACCACCAGTAAGACCTCCACACTAGCCAGTAGCAGCAGAACGCAGACACTGCCACCAGTAAGACCTCCACACTAGCCAGTAGCAGCAGAACGCAGACACTGCCACCAGTAAGACCTCCACACTAGCCAGTAGCAGCAGAACGCAGACACTGCCACCAGTAAGACTAGCCACTAGCCAGTAGCAGCAGAACGCAGACACTGCCACCAGTAAGACCTCCACACTAGCCAGTAGCAGCAGAACGCAGACACTGCCACCAATAAGACTAGCCACTAGCCAGTAGCAGCAGAACGCAGACACTGCCACCAATAAGACCTCCACACTAGCCAGTAGCAGCAGAACGCAGACACTGCCACCAATAAGACTAGCCACTAGCCAGTAGCAGCAGAACGCAGACACCGCCACCAGTAAGACCTCCACACTAGCCAGTAGCAGCAGAACGCAGACACCACCACCAGTAAGACCTCCACACTAGCCAGTAGCAGCAGAACGCAGACACTGCCACCAGTAAGACCTCCACACTAGCCAGTAGCAGCAGAACGCAGACACCACCACCAGTAAGACTAGCCACTAACCAGTAGCAGCAGAACGCAGACACTGCCACCAGTAAGACCTCCACACTAGCCAGTAGCAGCAGAACGCAGACACCACCACCAGTAAGACTAGCCACTAGCCAGTAGCAGCAGAACGCAGACACTGCCACCAGTAAGACCTCCACACTAGCCAGTAGCAGCAGAACGCAGACACCACCACCAGTAAGACTAGCCACTAGCCAGTAGCAGCAGAACGCAGACACTGCCACCAGTAAGACTAAAGACCTTATCAGCTGGTCGGAGGTTCATTACCAACCACCATTACCAACAACCATTACCAACCACCTTCATAACAACCATTACCAACGCCACCATCTTGAGGTTATCTTGAGATGATTTCGGGGCTTTAGTGTCCCCGCGGCCCGGTCTTCGACCAGGCCTCCACCCCCAGGAAGCAACCCGTGACAGCTGACTAACTCCTAGGTACCTATTTACTGTTAGATAACAGGAGCATCAGGATGAAAGAAACTCTGCCCATCGTTTCTCGCCAGCGCCCGGGATCGAACCCGGGACCACAGGATTACGCGTCCAGTGTTCTGTCCGCTCTGCCGCCGGCTCCCTACCATAACGACCATTACCAACCACCTTGATAGCGACCATTGAGACTATTACCAACGACCTTCGAAACCCAGTTAACATCGACTGAAACAAGGCTACAAGGGATTGCCCGCTAACACACCGAAACTACGACGTTGGTACAACGTTCGAACAAGTTTTAACACCTCCTAACCAGTTATAACAACTAATATAGCAAGTTGTAACAACGTTCTAATACGTCATAAACACGTTAAGCCAAGATGTAACAACTTTATTACAAGTTGTAACAAGCGGAAAATAGAGACAGTTTCAGTTTGTGTTTCCAGGGAAGCTGCGTGCATGCTGACCAAGATATTGACTAGACCTAGAATCAGTTCACTTAAAGATATAATCACTGAAGCACTAACTCTGGACAGAAGAGCCTCCAATAGCAACAGGTGGACCCATTGTGCGATAAACACCATCAATACATTCGATATAACAAACACAGTCACTGAGAGGGGTGTCGACGACATACATGCAGACTTTGTTATGCAAGCCCCTTGGGAATCTCCGCCAGCAGACTTTAAGATTATCGTTCTTGAAGGAAAGAAGAACCAGACTAATCCTCATCTGCTTTGTAATATTACACAGATGCATATAGATGCAAACATGGCATCCGACAGCTTCACTTACTTCACAGATGGATCAGTAGACCAGCAGGGACAAGCAACCGGAGCTGCAGTTAAGGCAGGAAACTCTGTAAATAGTTGGAGACTCTCAAACGAGTGTTCGATTTTACAAAGAGAGATGCAAGCCATTCAGAAGGCTCTGGAACATGCTCTTGCTGAACACCGACAACATGTTATCATACATACAGATTCGAGAACTGCCATTGAAACCTTGCAACAAGAACAGATAGCCAGAGGCTATCTTCTGGCAGGCGGAGTTTAGCTCCCGGCCCCCCCCTTACATTCCCGTGGGACTGTACATTTGGTATAGATAGTAGGGGAGAGAGAGAGAGAGAGGAGCCTCTCAAGGTCTACACAGACCTATCCCAGGCTGGTGGGGTCTCTGTTGGTCAGCCCCATCACCAGTCCTCGCTAACCTTGCTCCTAACCTCCGTGCTCCTCGCTAACCTAACCTAACCTAACCTAACCTAACCTAACCTAACCTCCGTGCTCCTCGCTAACCTAACCTAACCTAACCTAACCTCCGTGCTCCTCGCTAACCTAACCTAACCTAACCTAACCTAACCTCCGTGCTCCTCGCTAACCTAACCTAACCTAACCTCCGTGCTCCTCGCTAACCTAACCTAACCTAACCTCCGTGCTCCTCGCTAACCTAACCTAACCTTCTTGCTGACCATCTTATAATCAGAGACCTGGTGAGTGAGAGCGTAAGGTTGACGTATATTTCGTTTTTTCCACCATAAGTGTTGAATGATTTTCAGGGTCAGTCAACCCTAGTTGCTCTCAATTTCTTGTGTGTTGACTAATTCTGAATTAATGTTGACATTTCAACATCCTGTGAAACGGTTGAATTATGATACCCATAAGAGTGAATATAGAATAATAAATATATAATTTTTTAACTTCTTAAATTGTCTTTAATTCTGATCCCCCAGATCTTGGATAGTGAGAGCCAGAGTGGAGAGCACTCTGAAGTTAATGACTCTTGACTCTGATTTAGACTCTTAACTCTTGTTACTTGATAACATCAGATAATATTCTTGTACAGACAAGTTCCATTCCTTGTCTTATAATTAACACTTGAATGGATGGTGGCACCACTTTCTACCTCTTCTGCAAATCTGTTCCAGCGGTGAATATGGGTGTAAATCTGTTCCACTGGTGTTTATGGGTGTAAATCTGTTCCAGCGGTGTATATGGGTGTAAATCTGTTCCAGCGGTGAATATGGGTGTAAATTTGTTCCAGCGGTGAATATGGGTGTAAATCTGTTCCAGCGGTGAATATGGGTGTAAATCTGTTCCACTGGTGTTTATGGGTGTAAATGGGGTTCACTGCTGTTTATGGGTGTAAATCTGTTCCAGTGGTGTATATGGGTGTAAATCTGTTCCAGCGGTGAATATGGGTGTAAATCTGTTCCAGCGGTGAATATGGGTGTAAATCTGTTCCAGCGGTGAATATGGGTGTAAATCTGTCCCATGTGCGTATATGGGTGTAAATCTGTTCCACTGGTGTTTATGGGTGTAAATCTGTTCCAGTGGTGTATATGGGTGTAAATCTGTTCCAGTGGTGTTTATGGTGTGTAAATCTGTTCCAGTGGTGTTTATGAGTGTAAATCTGTTCCAGTGGTGTTTATGGTGTGTAAATCTGTTTCACTGCTGTTTATGGGTGTAAATCTGTTCCAGCGGTGAATATGGGTGTAAATCTGTTCCAGTGGTGCATATGGGTGTAAATCTGTTCCAGTGGTATATATGGTGTGTAAATCTGTTCCACTGGTGTTTATGGGTGTAAATGGGGTTCACTGCTGTTTATGAGTGTAAATCTGTTCCAGTGGTGCATATGGGTGTAAATCTGTTCCAGTGGTATATATGGTGTGTAAATCTGTTTCACTGCTGTTTATGGGTGTAAATCTGTTCCAGTGGTGTTTATGGGTGTAAATCTGTTCCAGTGGTGTATATGGGTGTAAATCTGTTCCAGTGGTGTATATGGGTGTAAATCTGTTCCAGTGGTGTATATGGGTGTAAATCTGTTCCAGTGGTGTATATGGGTGTAAATCTGTTCCAGTGGTGTATATGGGTGTAAATCTGTTCCAGTGGTGTATAACTGTGTAAATCTGTTCCAGTGGTGTATATGGGTGTAAATCTGTTCCAGTGGTGTATATGGGTGTAAATCTGTTCCAGTGGTGTATATGGGTGTAAATCTGTTCCAGTGGTGTTTATAAGTGTAAATCTGTTCCAGTGGTGTATAACTGTGTAAATCTGTTCCAGTGGTGTATATGGGTGTAAATCTGTTCCAGTGGTGTATATGGGTGTAAATCTGTTCCAGTGGTGTATATGGGTGTAAATCTGTTCCAGTGGTGTATATGGGTGTAAATCTGTTCCAGTGGTGTATATGGGTGTAAATCTGTTCCAGTGGTGTATATGGGTGTAAATCTGTTCCAGTGGTGTATAACTGTGTAAATCTGTTCCAGTGGTGTATATGGGTGTAAATCTGTTCCAGTGGTGTATATGGGTGTAAATCTGTTCCAGTGGTGTATAACTGTGTAAATCTGTTCCAGTGGTCTATATGGGTGTAAATCTGTTCCAGTGGTGTATATGGGTGTAAATCTGTTCCAGTGGTGTTTACAGGTGTAAATCTGTTCCAGTGGTGTTTATGGGTGTAAATCTGTTCCAGTGGTGTATATGGGTGTAAATCTGTTCCAGAGCAGTGGGAACTGTCAATTTTCATGTCCATTGCATATGAGTACAATTGGAATCTTAACAAGTGTTACTGATAGTGATAGTGGTCCATTATTCTCACTGCTTGTATGTATGTGTCAGTGGGGGGGGGGGAGGGGGGGCTATTTAGGGGAGAGGGGGGACGGGGGTATATTTGAGGATTTCTTTTTTATGTGGCTGCATGGTGATGCTACTGTGTAGCGGGGGGGAGGTATATATGTATATATATGTATATATATATATATATATATATATATATATATATATATATATATATATATATATATATATATATATATATATATATATATATATATATATATATATATATATATATATTTATATATATATATCCGGAAAATCCGGAAATATATGTCCGGAAAATCCCCCACAAACCGGACAAAACCACCTGCCAACATTTTGACCAGTGGTGGAGCGTTTTGACCAGGCGTCAACTCACCTCAATATAGATGGTAGTATCCGTATGCTGTTCTCCGTCGTCGGCTCGCACCGTCAACTGGTACTCGCTCTTAGTCTCCCGGTCCAGGGTATCCTGTAGACTAAGGTGCCCCGTGGCAGCGTCCAGGGTAAACTTGTTGTCGTCGCCGCCCACCAGGGAGTAGGTGATGGTGCCCAGGGTGTCCGGATCCGTGGCGCGGAGGGTGGCTATCCAGCGGTCGGCCAGCATGTCTTCGGACACCGTGAACCTCAGCGGCGCCTCCCCGAACTGTGGCGGGGAGTCGTTCTTGTCCAACACCGTCACCCGCACCTGTAACACAGTCAGGATCATCCGTCAGATTCCTTTCTTTCAATGTAAATGGCCTCCATTCAGTGTAAAATGAATGGAGACTTGAATGGCCTAAATTCAATGTAAAATGAATGGAGACTTGAATGGCCTCCATTCAATGTAAAGTGAATGGAGACTTGAATGGCCTCCATTCAATGTAAAATGAATGGAGACTTGAATGGCCTCCATTCAATGTAAAATGAATGGAGACTTGAATGGCCTCCATTCAATGTAAAGTGAATGGAGACTTGAATGGCCTCCATTCAATGTAAAATGAATGAAGACTTGAATGGCCTCCATTCAATGTAAAATGAATGAAGACTTGAATGGCCTCCATTCAATGTAAAATGAATGGAGACTTGAATGGCCTCCATTCAATGTAAAATGAATGGAGACTTGAATGGCCTCCATTCAATGTAAAATGAATGGAGACTTGAATGGCCTCCATTCAATGTAAAATGAATGGAGACTTGAATGGCCTCCATTCAATGTAAAGTGAATGGAGACTTGAATGGCCTCCATTCAATGTAAAATGAATGGAGACTTGAATGGCCTCCATTCAATGTAAAGTGAATGGAGACTTGAATGACCTCCATTCAATGTAAAATGAATGGAGACTTGAATGGCCTCCATTCAATGTAAAATGAATGGAGACTTGAATGGCCTCCATTCAATGTAAAATGAATGGAGACTTGAATGGCCTCCATTCAATGTAAAATGAATGGAGACTTGAATGGCCTCCATTCAATGTAAAATGAATGGAGACTTGAATGGCCTCCATTCAATGTAAAATGAATGGAGACTTGAATGGCCTCCATTCAATGTAAAATGAATGGAGACTTGAATGGCCTCCATTCAATGTAAAGTGAATGGAGACTTGAATGACCTCCATTCAATGTAAAGTGAATGGAGACTTGAATGGCCTCCATTCAATGTAAAGTGAATGGAGACTTGAATGGCCTCCATTCAATGTAAAATGAATGGAGACTTGAATGGCCTCCATTCAATGTAAAATGAATGGAGACTTGAATGGCCTCCATTCAATGTAAAATGAATGGAGACTTGAATGGCCTCCATTCAATGTAAAAAAATTAAATTATATATAACTGAGGCGTAAATATATGAAGGAATATCCCCCAATACATCTTGAGAATATATGAAACACCTTACAAGAAAATATCATTCAAAAACAAATTAGACAAAAAAAAGTTAATGGAAGAAATAGCTAGTTTTAATGACCAATGTGAGATGAAGCCAATGTTCCTCTACCGCTGATCAACCAGGCTGTGATTCATGCGTCAGGCAGCGAGCAGCTGCGTCCAACAGCCTGGTTGACCAGGCCACCAACTTGGAGGCCTCGTCAGAGACCGGGCCGCGGGGTCGGTGATCCCCGGGACCAATAATAGATAGATAACAGGTAGATAGTACTCAGATAACAGGTAGATAGTACTCAGATAACAGGTAGATAGTACTCATATGTTTAGGTAATCCACGCTTGCAATGTTAGAGTTAGTACTGCATCTGTGTTGCTAGCATGTGTCATGTGTCAACATGTGTCATGTGTCATGTGTCAACATGTGTCATGTGTCAACATGTTGCTAGGATGTGTCACGTGTCAACATGTTGCTAGGATGTGTCACTTGTCAACATGTTGCTAGGATGTGTCATGTGTCAACATGTTGCTAGGATGTGTCACTTGTCAACATGTTGCTAGGATGTGTCATGTGTCAACATGTTGCTAGGATGTGTCATGTGTCAACATGTTGCTAGGATGTGTCACATGGCGACATGTTGCTAGGATGTGTCATGTGTCAACATGTTGCTAGGATGTGTCACGTGTCAACATGTTGCTAGGATGTGTCACATGGCGACATGTTGCTAGGATGTGTCATGTGTCAACATGTTGCTAGGATGTGTCACGTGTCAACATGTTGCTAGCATGTGTCACATGGCGACATGTTGCCAGCATGTGTCACGTGTCAACATGTTGCTAGGATGTGTCACGTGTCAACATGTGTCACGTGTCACCATGTTGCTAGGATGTGTCACATGGCGACATGTTGCCAGCATGTGTCACATGGCGACATGTTGCCAGCATGTGTCACGTGTCAACATGTTGCCAGCATGTGCCACATGGTGACATGTTGCTAGGATGTGTCACTGGTCAACATGTTGCCAGCATGTGTCACGTGTCAACATGTTGCTAGCATGTGTCACATGGCGACATGTTGCTAGGATGTGTCACTGGTCAACATGTTGCCAGCATGTGTCACGTGTCAACATGTTGCTAGTATGTGTCACGTGTCAACATGTTGCAAGGACCAACATATGTGGCTAGGACCAACATATGTGGCTAGGACCAACATATGTGGCTAGGACCAACATATGTTGCTAAGACCAACATATGTGGCAAGGACCAACATATGTGGCTAGGACCAACATATGTGGCAAGGACCAACATACTATTTCCTAATCAGTGATTTCCAAATAACTGTCTAAATCTGAACTTTTCCCCATTTATTTAACCTTTGTATTCGCATTATATCGTGCGAGGAAGCCATCAGTTTGTCCACCTCCCTCATACAACATGCCGGAAGAGCCACGGCCTCGCTTCTTGCAAGGCCGGAGTTCGATCCCCGGTTGCCCAAGTGGGCAACACTATAAATGTGTTTTTGTATATTATTTTACGTACAGGGAGAGTCAGTCACACATGATATTGGAGGCTCCAGACAGTCGCCTTATAAATCTAAATTTATATTTAGATTTAAATATAGATTATTTATATAAATAAACTAGCTGTTCCCGGCCACGCGTTGCTGTGGCTCAGCAATGCATGGCCATAGCAACCTTTCACTGTCTCCCAACCATTCCCTACTCCCCCATCCCCTCGTCCTTCTCACAATTTACCCCTTCACCGTCCCCTCGTCCTCCCCACCATTCCCCACTCCCTCGTTCGATGCATTCCCAAATGATCTGATGTTCCCATCAGAAAATTGTGAACATCAAATGATCTGATGTTTCCATCAGAAAATTGGAAACATCAAATGATCTGATGTTTCCATCAGAAAATTGGAAACATCAAATGATCTGATGTTTCCATCAGAAAATTGGAAACATCAAATGATCTGATGTTTCCATCAGAAAATTGGAATATCAAATGATCTGATGTTTCCATCAGAAAATTGTGAACATCAAATGATCTGATGTTTCCATCAGAAAATTGGAAACATCAAATGATCTGATGTTTCCATCAGAAAATTGGAAACATCAAATGATCTGATGTTCCCATCAGAAAATTGTGAACATCAAATGATCTGATGTTTCCATCAGAAAATTGGAAACATCAAATGATCTGATGTTTCCATCAGAAAATTGGAAACATCAAATGATCTGATGTTCCCATCAGAAAATTGGAAACATCAAATGATCTGATGTTTCCATCAGAAAATTGGGAACATCAAATGATCTGATGTTTCCATCAGAAAATTGTGAACATCAAATGATCTGATGTTTCCATCAGAAAATTGGAAACATCAAATGATCTGATGTTTCCATCAGAAAATTGGAAACATCAAATGATCTGATGTTCCCATCACTGGAAAATAACAAGAGTTAAAAAAACGAAATGATAAAAAAAAAATTATACTCATGAAATGAACGGTATGGTAAACAACGCAGCTCAATTCCAACACAATGTCACACAAAATAATGAAATCAGAATGAAAATAAATCGAAATCTATGAAAATTAACTTTATCAATGAAATCGGAAATACTGAAATGGAATCATAACATATTTAGTATAGCGTGTGTTGCTCTTACGTGCAACGGATGTCGCTGTTTTTTAAAAAAGTATGTTTTTACCTGTCACAGGTGTGGCATCTATACAGTAGGTATATAAAAACATGTGTATAATCGATTGGAACATTGTGTCAAAATTTCAAAGCAATTGGTGAAGAACTTTCGGAGATTAGCGATTTTGAACAAATGAACATTTCCATTTATATAGATATAGATATAGATTTTAGAATTTAAATCAATTCTAAAGTCACGCCTTTCAGGTACTAATTGTAACAGGGTTGTCTAAGGTCAGGTCGTGTGAAGTGACCTTGTTAGCTGCTAAGGTGATAATTGCAGCCGGGTGGCTGTGTCTTTCCATCAGACAAGCCGCTGTCTAGGTGGGGTAGGTAGATAGCCAGAAGCTATTTCCTGGAAGTCGGAGCTTAGCTCTCGGTTCCGCCATAAATACCCGGGGAACTGTACATTTGGGACACTGAGCAGGCTAGTGGTAGATAGATTACTCGTCGAGAGGTAGACTAGGCCAGACTAGGCCAGTCCCAGACCGGCTGGGGACTCCGTCACCTCCACTCCCTCCTTTATCAAACTTAGTCTCAGACACTTTGGTGAGTGAACTTGTAATTCAATTTCTTTCTTTATTATGCACCCCATACCCATCCCGTGGGCGGTGGTGTAAAGAGGTACAGAGGCACATAATCGGTTCAGGAACCGAACCCTCTAGTTCGTTTAGCTAAGCCAATAACAATCTTTTGACGCTAGTTACACAATGATTAATGCTATATATACATGTACACATACTCATACATACATGTACATATATATATATACATATACATATATACACATATACATACATATTCAATCACCTACACAAATACACACATCAATAATCTTTGTATCACAAGTGATCAACAAGAAGCTCACAACAGTCACTATACAAGGCACTTTACATCTACGGTGAGTGACACAGTTACTAGTCTTGCTGCTTGTCAGGTGACGTATTTTGTCTTCTCCAACGTAGGTGTTGCGTGATGTTCAGGAACAGTCAGCTGTAGTGTTCTCAATTTCCTGTGTGCTGACTCAAATGTGGATGTTATTGCTGAACATGTGGATGTTATTGCTGAACATGTGGATGTTAATGCTGAACATGTGGATGTTAATGCTGAACATGTGGATGTTAATGCTGAACATGTGGATGTTAATGCTG